TATTTTAGATAGGATTGTTTGCTTCATGGAGACGTGACTTTATTTTGAAAAGTAGATAATACTTTTTAAAAGTCTTTGAATGCATCAAAGACTTTTAAAAAGTGATAAGCCTTATTTGGGAATCGAACTAAGCAAATGTTAAAAACAGCCTGTATTTTTTATGATTATTTCCAGAAGGAATTCCTGAGGAAACTCAGGTACTTTCGGTTTTGTTATCGGAAGTTTGTGACCCATCCAGCTAGGGAATGCAATACCGGGATCTCGAAATACTGCGGGATAACGCATGAACAGATTGTGTGTTGATCGGCGTGCTCGAATCGCGTCGTCTGCATAAAAAATACGCGTACGATCTAGCCAATTTCTATACATTTCCGAGCATTCTGACACTATTATGCTCTGACCACATACATAGCGGCGGTAGCGGGAGCGTTCCGGGCCCGGGAACTTTTGTAATGTTCGATTTTATTCTTTTAAGCACCCTGCTACATTGAAACCGGTTATACGCATTGTAGAGCGGCTAGCGGGACTGCGAGAAGGCGGCGGGACGGCGGCGGCGGCGTGGCGGGCGGGGTGACGCGAGACGGCGGGGCGGCGGTACGGGCGGCGGGGCAGCGCCAGGCAACGCGGTCCAAGGCCGACAAACGCTGTGATAAACAGGCGGATGAGACGCGGACCGGGCCCGAGGCGAATGCGGGGTGGGTGCGGCACGGGTGTTGACTTCCATCGAGTTCTATGCAATGCAACCGACCGTCCACACAGAGCGAGCGGGGCGCGGTCCGGGAGCGGGGTTTTTATCGAGCTTGGTCGTTACGTTGTATTTTTGCAATTGTGGAGTCTATTAATTCTATTGACATGTATTCGACCGAAAAGCTTATATTATTAGTTCAATCATATCCGTGTTTATATAATCCACGACTTAGAGATTTTAAAAACGGTCTAAAGAAGGAGATGATTTGGGAAAAGATTGCAAAGGAATTGAATCAAAATCGTGAGTATATTTTTTAACCTTTTAATTAACATTAAAGTAATTTACAAAGATCATGGCTCATTATCTGACCCGTTTAATGGATGTTTGGGTACAAAAACAACATTCGTTTTAAATTACGCAATTTTTATTTTATGTAAAAATAAATATCGCAATTCTACGGGAATAAAGATTTGATATTAAACATAGGTATTTGTTAGTGTATGTGTCGCTGTGGTCAATCTCTTATTATCTCCTTTCTCTACTTATTTATTTTCCGTGGTGAAATATTTCATATATTAAGCGAACGGCTGTTACAATAGAAGTCTGCCGCGTGAGTGAATCAATACAATTCAAAAACCAAAATCGTTCTAGAAAAAAAACGCTATTTAACTGCACCGCCGCGCTGCTTCAACGATGATGTGAATAATTTCCATTAGATGTCATCACCGTGCACGCGTTAACAGTACTTTTAATTATTGTGTAAACTGTAAATGAACCCTAATTAGGTCATTGTCAGACTTTTTCTCAAAGTAATTATCATACCACTCGTTCGCGAACCGTTTTAATAATGTTTGTGCTCTTGTACAAATGTTATTTCTTGACGTCGAAAATCAGGAACAGAGAGAATGCTAGCTGCGTCACTCATACACTTTATAAAACTCCGTTAGATGGCTCCACTGTCACCATGCGCGCGAAAATATCTTTCCTGTTTCTGTTTCAGCTACAATCTTTTACGTAATTTTATACTAACAATTCAAGATCAACAATTACGATAATTACAATTGCGAATTAACATAATAGTAAATATTTTCTAACGAAACTTAACATAAAATAGTACCTATACGCAATCGAATATTTTTATGGAATTCATTGTTGAAGGACATTATCAAATAATGAACTCTTTATTATAATTCGGTACGAGACACAAGAGTTATTGATTAATAAAATACAAAGTTAATTAATATACACGTTTTTAAACAAATCCTGACACTCGGCCATTCGACTACGTGCTACCTCCGGTACTTATCATGTCATGAGTGACAGATAATAAACACAAAACACAAATATTTTGCACTTACATACATTTTTTTATTTCATAATTCACAGTACCCACAGTAAAGCTAGACATACCATTGTAAATTATGCATAATATTTTTCTATCAATTTAGCTATAGGTATATCATTTTTGTACGCCGCCCGTGCGTCTTGTTTTTATACTTTGGTGGGCCATGATCTTTGTTCAATTGTAGAATCAGATCTTTGATTAGTGCGAGAAATCGGGAGAAGTTTTAGATCTCAACTGATCTGAGTATCGCCTTGTTGTTGAAGGACCCAATTTAGCCATGCTTAATTTTAATGAAGTTATGTAAACGACGCGTGCCTTTGATCACTTCTATTGCCGTTTCGATTTTCGACATTGCATATATATCTTTAAACTTAGAATAATAACGCATAGAATGATAGTTTCATATCAAACGAACTGTCACAAGTGAGGCAAAAATCAAATTCATGTAGGCTAGTTTTAGTAGTAGGTTAATTTTCGGTTTTAGTGAATATTTATATAAAAATACAAGTTGAAACGTGTTACTTCCTTGTGGAATGTGATGTTAGTATCTATTTTATGTTTGTCTGACGTATTTTTACATTCATTTACCGCACATTTCGTCATTTTTAGCTAAAATTCTGGAGCTGTTCGCGGTGCAAGTTGACCTTGAGCACTGAAGGCCCGCCCGCTCGTGTAGGCCCTTTGGGAGCGCTTCAATTTGCCTCACTTAGCGTGTGCGGATTAGATTTCTATGCGTTATTATTCTAAGTCTTTAAACATGTCATTTTTGCGTCAGTCTGGTCGAATACAGTTTCCATAACGCGGCACGCTCGGCACAGGCGGGAGTTGAATTTTCTTTTCTTTCATTTTGCACTATAACTGTTCTTGACAAAGGTAACCTTCACCACCCATAATTACTAGTGGTACCTGGTACCAAATCATTTGAATTACGCAGTAGTTATGGTGGTAGTAAAGTTTTCAAGAAATGATTTGTATTGAAATCTAAATTCTCAAAAATTCCGCTATTACTATGTCTAAACAACTATACATTTTAAATCTGCGTCAACTAACTCCATCAAAATAACCGAAAATAATGATGTTTTTGTAACAAAAGTAACCTGATCCACTGTCGTCGGGGCAATGAATTTGAACGTAATTTGACCGGTCCACACAGTTTGGGAAATCCTATATGGTTCTGTAGCCAATTTCAAATTCGCGCCATATTTCTTCTCTTGGCGTTGGCATATAAATGAGGTGTAATGTTTCCCAGGTTGTCTTTGAAACTTGTTTTACAATAGTGCTCAGCATAATTAGATTTATTTGTTAATTTTTAATGTTATTTTGCGTTATTACTGTATGTACGCCTGCAATGGTACAAGATAGTGTAGGTGTAACAATTTATATAACAATGCAGTGTAAGTTTCTTTGTGTATGTGTCGCTGCCCAAGGAGCACACTTTATACGCCTTAAAACTGTTATATCTATAAACAGTCTTAATATGGTATAGATTTAGATAATAGTTCTCTATAAATGGTTTTAGAAAAAAGAAATTGTTCTTATAGACTTATTTCGCTCAAGTCCAAATTTTAAAACCTTCTCAATACCAAACAACTTAATTAAGTGTAATCTCTCTTAAGATTTACTCTTATAGTCCTTATTTTAAGTTCATCTGTAGAACAACTGATTATTTTAGTAAAATTGTTCTATACACATCCAGTAAAGTCTATTAATACTCTAAAAACTAGTGTTCTTACGTTTATTCTAGATATATTTAATTTATAGACATTCTGTAGTGTTTGTACTTATTGACAAACATGTTATAGCGCGTCTTCAGTAGATTTTATTTAAAAAATACTACAATTGGGGTTTTTACTCTTTTGCTCTACTTGCTACTACTACTTGCTTTTACTCTATTGGACGTTGTAAGAGTTCATGCAAAATGGATAAAGTAAAGAATATTAAAAGATCTGGTGGAAGTGGTGAACCTTGGATATTAAGTCACATCATTCGATACCAATTGTCCAATATCCCCAAAATTCACGGTTAAAATCCCCAAATTGGGGAGAGCAAAGTTCATATTCCCCACAAATTCCCCACATCTCGAGTTTTCATTATTTATTAGAAATACATCCCTTAAAAATATAATAAAGAATTAAGAAACTCAAAATGTAATAATCTATTACGTTTGCTGTGAATGTAAACGGAATGTAAAACTAATTATAAAATTAGATGACCTTAAATCGTTTATTTCTTTTAATTAGATTCAACATTAGTCTGTAATCAGTCTTTGAAAAAAAAAACATTTTTCTTTGCCTTACAAAATTAAGTAAATTGATTATTTGTTGTGCATTTGGTGACACTGTGTTAATATAAGAAATAATCAATGAATTTCGACCTATATTTAAATTTTAAAGTTGACGAGTGGTAAGTTGTGGTGTGGAAGTACCAACTGCTCAGCTTTGTTTATCAATAGCTGACTTCGTTTTGCTTCATACCAGGGACCGGCCTAAGCGGGAGAAAGAATCGCGAACTCAACACGCACCGACTGGTAATTTTACAATTCAGAACCAAGTGCTCTAATAATAATTCTATTTAAGCTGCTTGTTAATAATACGAGGGATGTGCGATGTTGAAAAACACATCGATATAGTCCATCACAGTGTTTCTAACAGTAACGGTCAGACTAGCGATTCATCAGCAATTGATAAATTATTCAAAATGATAAAATGTTAGAACTCCACATTTTCCTCACATAGCGCCTATCCCCACAAAATCCCCAATCTAGTTGAAATTCCCCACAAATTGGCAACGGTAAATACAATAGTCGAAATTCGCGCGCGAGCCGGTCACGGCCGGTCATGTTTGTTGACAAATAAATAAGAAGTGATAAAAACAATTGAAATGAGCGCGTAAACTACTGTACTTCAATGTTGTGTATGTGTATTGTGCCATCTGTCAATAGAATACATATATAAATATTTAAAACCGAAAATCGATAACTGTATTTTTATTAAGTTTATATTTTATACATAAATATTTAAAATTTAGCGAGCGCATTACTTTTATTACAGGTTATACGTCAGTTTTCACAATGTATTTAAAGTCGCACGTCAATTCGCGCTTTCTAACCGATTAAACATTGCGCGAATAAGTCAGAAATATTATATCTAATTTCGCCATGTTGCAATTTTGATAGTTTATATTTTGTAAGCCATTAAACTTGAAATCTATTGTAACGCCTTAGTATTTTGGTTTTAAAATAGCATTACTAAGAAAACTATCATAGACTATAAATTATCTAAAAACTGTCTACATTCTACAAATGGTCTTGTAGCATTCTAGAAGGGTTACTTGAGAAAAAAGATAAGAATCACTCTTAACACTACCTACATATAGTTTCTCAAAGCACTCTTGTGATCTACTAATGTGCCCACTTTTACTTTAAATTATCTAGAAACCTTGAGGGAATTTGAACTCTTAAAATATTGAATCGAATTAAATTCTATTAGATATCTTATAGTATATATTTATGGGTGTGCTGCTTGGGTGGTGTATCTAAATAATTCTGACACGAAATAAAAATACTATTGTCTCTAAAGATACCACTTGTGAAATATTTGAAATAAATCTTGTTACAGGTCACGTAACGAAAGTCAAGTGGAAGAATTTAAAAGATGGCTATACTAAGTACAAAAAACAAATTAAAGGTGCAACGGGTAAGGGTCAATCAAAAAAGTACTTTAATTGGGTTTGGGGACCCTATTTGGAATTTCTGGATGCCACTTCACAACCCCGATCGACAACATCGAACGCCAGAAGAAATTCAGGTGAAACTAATTCTCCACCAAGATCTCCGATTAACACGCAAGTTGCAAATTCAAAAGATGAGTTGCCATCACCATCCCCATCAATAACCATCAACCGGGAGATATCTCATCCACTGCCAGACATATCTTCGCCTGAGATACCTTCGCTAATACCTCCAACAACAATACAATTGGACTCCCAAGGCGACGTGGATAAAGTTCTGAATTATTTAAATAATAAACAAAAATATGACGCCGTTGACTACCTATTTATTAGTTACGCAGAAACTTTTAAAAAACTGCAACCCAGAACTCAAGCCGAAGTCAAGTTGAAACTGGCACACATTTTTGCAGAAGCCGAACTGAAAGAACTTGAAGAAAATCAAATTTCAGTAACGCCTATACAATCCCCTTCATGTACTTTTATAGTGAAGTCAGAAAATTGATTTGATGCACCAGTATAGTGACTAATTAGCAAAATATCAAGAAATAACAAAACCGAAATGTTTCAAGGAGACTGTGCGACATTGTATCGTCCATGATATACAACTGGACTTCCCGAAAATTCACGGATGCGTCCTCTTTCACTTGAAAAATACAAGATAGCAGAAGATTAATTTTTAAGGATGCAAGAGATGGAATATGCGGGCCCAGTAAAAAGCAGCTTAGTGCCAAAGAAAAGTACGGGAGAACTTTCCACGAGTAAACGCAATCACAAAACTGAATAAATATTCCATACCACGCATTCAATACTGCATACATATTAGAAGGAAATATATTTACAGGTTTGTATTTTAAAAAAGTATAACATAATATACGGGTAGCGGTAGAAGACATTGAAAAGACTGCGATAATTACTCGTTTTGGGTTGAGTTTACAAGGATGACTTTTGGTCTTAGAAATGAGGCTCAGACTTTCCAAACATTTGCAAATGATATATTTCGCGATTTGCTTTTCCCGTTGTACCGCGTTTGCGTGGCCTGACTTATGAATGGTCCACATTGAACTTGGCTGAACTAACATTGTCGATGTCAAACTAATTGTAGTCGAAAATTGATGCTCGACCCCTTTATTCTTCATCTGTTAGGTTTGTATCGCAAATTTGAACTTCTGAAACGATCTTTCCACTTGGATTTTACTATTTGTTCCTTGGTCAAAAGTTGATGGAGTAGACGAGTGCACATCAACCATTCTCGTAGTGGTAGAGTATTGACTTAAATATGGTTGATTTTTTAAATAAATTTTGTAATAACTAATAATCTTTAATGTAGTATTAAAAAACCGACCTCAAGTAAGTTTAAATATAGATAGTTAATTAAAGTACCTACTAGTGTTGTGGCAATTAGTGTACTCAAAACAATAAACAAAACTTCTTGAAATATAAATCACCCCTTGTCCGCTAAAAAAATTTGATTTTTAATTAAAATTTTTGATTTACTTCTACCTTATACCTTTTATATAAAGTGCAACACCTCTGCAACCACAGACATAAATATAGCTCATCTAGATATGTCTGTGACTGCAACACAGACAGCATCTGTAGGTATAATTTGGTGTTTGGCACTTCGTTGGCGATTGCGCAGCTAGCAAAGAACTATAGTAAATAAAATCAGCAATGCTGATTCTTCATCATTTTTGTGCACATTACTGTTAATTGTATAATTAATCACTCTTATTATGGTTTATCGCTTTTGTAGATAAATAAATGTATTTTTATTTTATTTGTTTATTTTATTTTGAATCCCAAAGGGAATCGCAACCAGCTAATTGATTGATTTGTGTGAAAAGTTGAAAAATGTTTTTGTAAATCGAATATAGGTTCCATAATTGCCTCCGTAAATTTGTGTCCACTTTGAAATGAAATGAAGCAACATATAAAGTTTATTTATTATTTATATATAGTTAATTTACTATTATATTATTATAAGTTATTTAGCGGAATATTCAAACCTATATCTATCTAAATTTATAATTTTTACGTTATTCATTTGATTGTTTTTGTTAATATAGCATTTTGCCTTGGTCTTCTTTGGGTAGTTAAGCTTATTTTTTGTGGATGTAGCGGCCAGCTCTCTGTTCTCCTATTTAACGAGACGAAGTGAAAGGTCTTTAGCAAGAATTTCGTTTAACCCGGCGCCAATAACGTGAATATAATTACGCCGACGATCGGGTGACCCGAATTTCATCGAATTTTTTTAATTAAGAAAGTAGTTGTCTAAATTTTAATAAATACGTTTAAAATAAGGGTTCTTGGGACATAATGTAGTAAAATAAAAAGAATACCAATATATTGTACATATCGATATTTTATTATCGTTCTCGATAACATTATGCAAAATCAACTTTGAATACATAATTTGACATTTCTTTTATTTTTAGCAAAGTATTCTGAATAATATAGGGAGGTAATTATTAGAAATCACTCTTCTACTTCCTTATAAAGATGGATCATATTGACCCGTTTTGACACTTGGTTCCACAGACGGCGTCACTCTTATCGTCTCTCTTATCTTATCTTATTATAGGGTCGTATTCTAGAACTCTACTCAATGCTCAAGTCAGGATTTGAGTATGATTTAAAGCACTAGAAATCATACTCAAGTCCCTGCCATTAGGGTCGTATTTCCAGTGCTTGTGTTTCAATTGCAATCCTGATCCTGACTCTAAGAGTGACGCCGTCTGCGGAACCAAGTGACACGTGCATATTCAATGCTCAAGTCAGGATTGCACTGGCAACACAAGCACTGGAAATACGACTCTAATGGCAGGGACTTGACTTAAACTTAAAATAATAACGCATAGAAACCTAGTCCGCACACGCTAAGTGAGGCAAATTGAAGCGCGCCAAAAGGGCCTACACGAGCGGGCGGGCCTTCAGTGCTCAAGGTCAACTTGCACCGCGAACAGATTAAGAATTTTAGCTAAAAATGATGAAATGTGCGGTAAATGAGTGTAAAAATACGTCAGACAAACATAAAATAGATACTAACATCACATTCCACAAGGAAGTAACGCGTTTCAACTTGTATTTTTATATAAATATTCACTAAAACCGAAAATTAACCTGCTACTAAAACTAGCCTACATTAATTCGATTTTTGCCTCACTTGTGACAGTTCGTTTGATATAAAACTATCATTCTATGCGTTATTATTCTAAGCAAGTAAATAAAATAATGCGCAACGAATATTTAATGTATATTTTGTTAACAATCCATGACAACAATCTCAAACGAATGCTAAGCAAACGCTTTATACCAATATCTTTTTTTTAAAAGGTTTATGGCTCGTTTGCAAGACCTTTAGGCCAATTTAGCCCTCTAAGATTTAACTAACCAATTAGGAGGCGGGCGAGCGTTTGAGTAGCGTCATATTTGACATTTTATTTAGCAAAAATACGATGTTCTTTTTTTGAATAGTTCTGTATAGAGAACTAGGTTGAAATGTTTAAATTCAGTGAGTACCATAGACAATAGAATTTTGATTCAGAACTAAAAAGAGCGCCATTGTAATATGGTTTATAAAATTATAATTGACAGATTAAAGTATAGGTGTAGAAAAACACTTTCGGCGTATGATGACTATTGTGGTTTTATACTGTCAAGAATACGAAGTAATCACCTTAATTTGGACAAAGATGTATTAAACAATTAAATTGTCATGTATTTTCACCTCGTACTTTCCGTTACAAATGTGTTTATTTTTAACAAACTTCAAAAAAAAAAGGGAGAGGTTATACATTCGGCTGTTTTGTATGTTTATGTTTTTTGTGCTTTTCCGATTTCTCCGTCAATTGTAGACCGATTTTGAAAATTCTTTTCTTGTTTGTAGAGTGCACTCTCGTGGTGATTCTATTGTCACCAAGTCAAAATCTGGTGCGGGGATCACATGGAAATCGAGGACAATCTTCAAATTTTGTAGGCATGTCAGTGTTCTCACCGGTTTCTCCGTTAATTGTGGATCGATTTTGAAACTCTCGAGGTGGCCCCCTGATGCCAACGATGCTGTTCCAGGTTCGTTTCGGCTGTCACAAATAAAAAAATATTTTCCGCAAGTAAAAGTCGACTTTTCACTAGACACAATAAATGTAATCAACAAATTACGGTCACCGTGACAACCAGAAAAAAGTATGAAATGTACAAAGGAGTCCGTAATAGTCCCATTATCACCAAGAACTCAGAATCTGATGAGTGGAACCCAAGCAAACTCGAGAGGTCGGTTTTTTTTTTCAATGAAAAAGTTACAATTATTATTTATTTATTTATATTCAGGTTACAAACAGCCATACATACATGCCTTATAGACTGACAGACGTAACAGTATAATGGTAGAACACTAATTACTTATTATTTACACGTAGCGTGTTTGCGACGTGACGCAACGTGGGTGTCCGGTAGCCGGCCTCGGAAACGTCGGAAATTTTACTGATTCTCGTCTCGGTAAACCTTAGAGATGAGCGCTGTAATTAGGCTTGCCAAATTTATTTTTTTTAATTAAAATTCATTTTATTTAGACTTCGAAGTACACATTTCTACAACATTACGTACGCCTATATCTTTTTGTGATTTGACATTATTACAAAAAGAGACAATCATATTCCTAATTGAATATGGTATCTGGCCATTTTAGACTCCTTTGCTAATATACAGCACTGTCGACGAAGCAATTTGAGCTTTCGTATATTTCATTTTTTTACCAACAACCGCACCAATACCAAACTAGAGATTTTCCTAACACCCTAGAACACCTATACCGGTATCAATTTAATTTCCCAACTTGGTCCAACCGCGAATCGAACCCGAGTCCTCCTTATCCAGCGTTCACAGTGCAAATCGTTGGGTTATCGAGGTAATCAAAACTCTACTATGTGTAAATGTAGGTTAAGTATATATTAATGTGTTGAGATATTTAAGCGGTTATATTATTATTGTTGTTAATTGTTACTTAGACTGACTGACATTTATAATACGAAGTTTTACTTCTGCTAAGCAAAAATGGTGAGCAAAGCAAGTTTTTCGTGTGTACAAAACGAACTCTACCTGATTTTAAGCAAGAAATTGTGAAGAAAACTCAAAGTTTTATCGAATTTCTTGCTTAAACTTAGGCCGTTTATAAATCTCAGCTTTAGATTCCCTCGTTACCAGAGACGGGCAAGTGCTCGGGTTTCCAGCGGCAAGATGGGCAGACGACATGTTGACGGTGGAAATGTTAAATGTCGTAAGAAATATTTTGTCGTAATGGAAAATGTTCCTTGCTACAAAGTGTCGTTTACCACATTTCATAATTCGATTCATCGACGAAATTATTGTCCTGATATCGACTGTGGAAATTTGAAATGTTCTAAGAGACATTTTGTCGTAAGGTCATTTTCCCTTATGTAAAAATGTCCCTTACGACATTACAAATTTCATTTTTTTAGTACATTCAAATTTCGAACGTCTGAAAAACAAAACTATATTATGCGTCCTCAAATCTAATATCAGTCGAGATGAAGTTTTATTCGAAATTAAATGTCAATAGCAAACAATTTTGACAAATTTCACACGTTACTTAGTATTGAACGATATGATAGTTGGGACCAACTCTAGTTTGTCTATGAATTCAATAAAAACTACGGTTGTGTGACATTCATGACAAAAGTTTTATTTGCCGCCATTTCGCCAGTCGTAACATGCGGTTCCTGAACACATCATAGAGAGCTTATAATTATGTGTATAGATTAAGCAGTGTACGTAACTGTACATAATTAGGCATTAAAACACTCGCCTATTCTTATCGTTTTATAAATCCTCTCAACAGTCACATAAGTACTATTTTTCATCGAAATTTCTAATAAGTATGGAATTATACCAAATGCCGTATTCGCCGTTTTTGCTCACGATTTTTGGCAGAAATGGGTTAAAGCGCTTTGGGTAAAAACTCAGTTAAAACCCAGCCGGGTTGGTTAGGTTTTGACCACGTTTTAACCCACCTCATCTCTGCACGTTCGTTACATAGTTAAGAAAGCCGAAAATCTTCAAGTAAAGGAATGATTTCTATGGTCTAGAATAATTCTACTTATTAAGCCTGAACTTTCTTTGTATGATGCCTAAAAAAAGTTTGGGGTATGTTTGTACCGCCTAATGCACAAATCTTCTCGTGACTTGAGGTCTTTACCTTCTCATCTTTAAAGTATTGTTGAAAGGTTAAAAAAATCAAGGTTATTCTCTACTGATAAAATAATAGAGTCTAAATTCGTCGCAGTATTGTTATTGTCGTTGATCAATCAAGGGGAGTGTCCCCTCTATCGGTGTCCGTTTTCATAGCAGTTAGTAGATTTAGATACTTATCTAAATGGGATCAGGGTCCCTCGATAAAAGACTACTTAGGTAGGAAAGAAAATTAATTCGTATTACGAATTGTCATTTCTAGAAAAAAATAAAACCTTCTAAAACAGCCGTTATAACGTTATTTACGTGTAGTGAGATTGAATGATACTAAGTAAATTATTTAATTATAATTCATCTTGTAAACCTTCGTCTAATAATATAACCACAGACATTTCTAGATATATGTATATGAACATAACGCTAACTCATTTAAAACGAACCCATTAAAATTGTCAGATCGAGTGTATTTATTATACAGGGTGGAAAAGAATAATGGGACATGAACTACCAATCAATACAAATATCAATTTAAGCATTTAGTACTTAAAATGGCTAATGTTACTTAAAGAAAACATTCTTTTATTTTTCTTAATATGATTTCACAGATTTTTTTTAACAGATCGCCTGAGCCTGAAATCGAACCAATTGAAAATGCAAAGAAATAAACACCCATTTTTATCGAGTTCTTAGGTTTTCACGATTGTTACATATAGGAAACCACACTATTTTGGATCTAAGTCGTGTAGATACATTTGTCTTTTCAAACAAACGAACGTTTCGGGTCCTTTACAGGTCACACGTAGGTATTAACCACTAAATGCTCATAATATCGTCTACAGTCACATAAGTCTATTTGTACATTGTTTTTATATGGCCCATAAAGAAATCCAAATGAGTAAGGAGTTTATAAAAACATATATCATGTCATTTACTTGTTAAACATAAGCAGTCTTAGTTAGATAATGTTTATGAAAGTTGTTTGTATTATAAAGATTTCATAGTCGTCTTTAAATGTAAGTCTCCGTTTTCATTGGAGGGATTTTATCCTAATCAATGATTCTATCGATTGCTACGATAAAACAGAGTGATTTTTCTTATTATTTTTAGTTGGTCAGATTCCTGGTTCAGGTACACTTTAAAAAAAAATAGTGAATATAGTTATTCATATTAAGAAAAATTAAAATAATGTTTTCTAGTTTTGATCTTAAGCATTTAAAGTAGTTCCCCTTCATATCCCACTGATTTTTTTCCACTCTGTATAATAAGCTGTTTTTTGTTTCGTGTTTCTTTTATTTTTCTTTTATTATCCGTTAAGTAGAATGTGAAACTCAAGGAAATAACTGTTCAATTTAATATTAGGGAAGGGTGAAACTCGTTCAGTTAGAAAATAAGCCGAACGTACCAAACATATGATATTCACCATCTCGTATCTCGTAATAGTAATGTTTGAGTTTCACGAAATATACGCGTGACTAAATCTTCTAACATTAAGTTTTTTTTGTAAAGTTGTAACGGCTTTGACATAAAGCCATACAGCCTATTCGTCAGTTTTTTTCTTTTTTGGTTTACTTTTCTTTAGGTTTTCAATCACATAAAATTAAAAGTGGTAATTATATAACTGTAAGTAGATTCATAAGTCCTTTAGATAGATGGAATGAGGCGGGGAACGTCTTCTTCTTCATAGGCCTTCATTACGCAATTTACTAGCAACAACATTTGCACGTTGAAGGTAGGATAATCACAACTTCATATTGTTAAAATAAAATATTTTGCAAAACGTATGTAGCGTGAATGGAAATGTTCTATGGTAAATTAAAAATAAGATAAACAACTAAATTAAATTAATAATTTTATAACCTTTGGCTAAGATATATACCTACGATGCGATGTCGTAAGGTAAGTATTAATTAATTAAAAAACGTAAACTACAAACGACTATCTTTTATGCAATTCAAATGCAAAATACTTTCATATCGGGTGTTGAAAATATAAACAAGAAAATGACGTAGGAATAATAGTAGGAATAATACAATTTTTTCGTCTAATATTAATAAGTATGTAATGACGTAACTAGTTGATAGCTTTATCATCTCAGTCAGCCGTGACCTTGGGACCTATAAACGGCCCGAATCGTTGGTTTGTTTGAAAAAACAAATATACACGATTTTGATTCGACCCCATTTTAATCAGGCATGTAAACAGGTAGCGTCACATTGAACGCTTTGTGAAATTCCGATGTAACGGGTCGTTGTTAACACTCCGATTTGTACTGAAACAATCAAAACATCTATCTTAATTTGTACGTCATCAGAATATTCAATGGCAACTATTAGACGAGACAAAGCGTCTCATTGCAATGCAAATAGGGCTGGCTGCATTCATCGATCACGATGTCAACAGGGTCGTTGAGTGAATTGACCTTTGACCTTCTGTGATCGCATGTACCGTCGCTGGTTTGTTCATGAAACCACATAGTTAGATTAATACAGTCCCGTCTAACCAAATTAAACAAAAAAGGGTTCACGATCTTGTGTACATTTTGAGCGTGAGTGAAAATTTTCTTTTGCCTGTGAATGTTTAGAGATTGACTATAGAAGGATAGACACTAAATAATTTAAGAGTGTATTTAGGAGTAATATGTGAAGCGAAACTGAGTGCACCGACTGGCTAGATTAAAATGAGCCGCTTCCGGACTGTACCTGTCGAGCAGCGGAATGTTTTACACGATAATAATACGGGAGGCTTAGAGATCAGGGGTCTAGTCCAAATGGTTATGTAGTACGCATCCATCGGCGCATGATCGAGCGTCGACCGGCCTGGCAGTACCTCCGTTGCCGCCACAGCCGCCGCCTGCCTGCACGCCCGCGCCCGCGCCTTGGGACCACGTTGCCGCCCCCCAAGCTAGGCCGCAATAGTGAAGGGTGAAGCTCCCCCATTTCGAAAGTTATGGCTGATCGTAACAATCATATGTCCGTACACACCATCTCGTAGCTCGTAGTGCTATTGTTTGTTTGAGTTTCGTGAAACATACGCTATTAGCGAGTGACTAAACCCTATAACAAGTTAAACAACCTGTGGAAAGCAAAAGAATATCCATAATGAGACACGACGGTGATGCATCAGCATTAGCTGATCGAATAGAAGCGTTTAAAGGCGATCCTGAAAAACTACGACAAGCCACTGAATTTGTAGACGAAATCATACAACAAGCTAAAAAAGAGGCAGAACTTAAACAAAAAGACAAAGAAAGAAGTAAATTCGTAAGTATCAATGTATATTTAACCACGTAAGGGAAACACACTAGAGGAGTTAGGGCGGTAAGTATTAAAAAAGGCGTCGTGCTAATATAGAATGCAAATTTCGGCTTGTTCAAATAGTAACGCTGTCCGATCCAGTGATTTCAAACACAAACCTTTCAATAGACTATGAATATGTTTTGCATGCATCATCTCGACGACATAAATTCAAATTCTTTATTCATAACTTTTTTTTAGTAGTCCAGTCAATCTCTTTTTTAAATCGATATGAACGCAACACATTCCCTAGTTGCTAGCCTTGTCGACGTGGTTATATTTAGGCATTATGAGGAAATAAATCAAATCGAGACTTAACGGGGAATAGACATTTTTAAGCTTTCTAAACTTTGTTATCATTCACCTGTTTCCGTAACGACGATGTTATCGATTCTAAAACGATGTATTGAAGTGTATTGTTGTTTCGGAGATAATATTGGGCAATCGACTCACGGTTATCAGATAACGTGATGGGATGAAATGAAAAACGAATAAGTATTATATTTGCTCGATTGACAACGAACAGTTGATAAGAAGTTTATATAATACATGATATTCAGTGGTGGGTGGCAGCTTAAAAATCAATAAATTTACTGGTTAGGTTTTAAGAAACTTAATTTGAAGCTCAGAATATGCAGTCCAATTCTGCCCTCGGAACGAAAAAGGGCACAACTGTCGTATAAAGTACGCATAGTTGTGCCTGTTTTCGGCAGAATTAACCACTCACTAATAGGACATATTTTACAATTTTGACAAAAACGAAGTAATTTTCATACGAAATGATTCTTTTTCGGATCTATAAGTGAACGTTTCTAGAAATCAACGTTTTAGAGTCTTTACACGCCCATGGTCACAGCTGACAGACATTTATAGTTGCGTACAACACTACACTTTGTTTTTTTTAGCATTAGAGCCAATGACATTTTTGGTCTTTTATCAGGCGCCATTTCATTATTTTAACCGTAGTATTCGCTAAAGTTTCTCAAAAACTTGCACTATAAAAAACTTAAAGAAGCAGAGGTTACAAACATTAGATGAAGAATAAAATAATAACACACTATCGTGTCATTTATTAAATGCCATTTGTCATTAATTCTGACGATGTTTTTCTTTACTGTAATTTGTTGACTGAAGAAAAAAATTTATGATCTTGGTTTTTTGTTGGCGTTTCTTCTAATCCCGAAAAAGCGAAGTATAGTTGTAATATAACGTTTTTGAATTGCCGAAAGTCTCACTACCTAAAGATATCCATTTATCTTAAATTGTCACTTCCCAGCTTATAATACTATTAATACACTCCAACTCACAAAACATCTTGCATATTCCTTCGTTATTTTCTTAATTTTAATTTTTTTTGCAATATTTATTTTTAGTGCTCTTAGCAATAGCATAGCGACACATATTATACAACCAACAGCACGCTCAGCTTTACACATGTTAAAATTTTACAATAACAATTATACTAACTTAATCTATATGTAGATACATACTTATTATGTATTATGACTATAAAGGAGTAGGTTCTGGAGCAATTAACTGATAGATGTAGACACAACAAAAACCATAAGTCCTAGAAATATGATAACTTCTGAGTATGTCACGTTTATTTAGTGTAGCCGTACAACGGACTTTTCGAAATTCACCTAAGACGGTAGAAAAAGGGTAAAAATGTTTGTATGAAAAATCGTATTCCTTGAACTTACATGAAACTAGTATGTATGTAAAGTAATTCGTTAGTACATTGAAGTCCCGCAGACTATAATAACCCGGTCGTATTTATTATTTTATTAGTGAAATTATGTGTATTAACATGAATAATTTGAATATCATTGTACACACGCCAGCTTATCTAGCTTACACATTGACGTATCTTGTTCCGTTGCTATGGAGGCGATTTTCGAACAAAAATGTGTAGTCTGATGTGCCGTTGTCCGTACTTAATTGAAAATGGCAGGAAGTTCCCAAAAATAGAGGATAAGTGTAGCCATTATGGAAAATATATGCGTAGAGAACATTAATAAATGCTTATTACCAAATAATTTATCGCAGATACCGTTCATAACAATATTTGTTTCATTTACAATTAAATGTTAAGATTTCTTAAGTTCAGTTTACTTCACAATACTTTAAATTACTGTTTTTTCAAAACCGGAAGGCAGTAATGCTCAAATTATAGCGTGGGGGCAGAATAGGTGAGGTTACTACAACTAGCTCTACTGCTGTCATAATAATAACAGTAGAGTGTACTTTAATAAATACGTGCGGTTAAATTGCCTCTAGTATCAAGTGTTTTTTTAAAGCCTATAAGGTCCCATTGCTGGTCAAAGACCTCCCGTCGCTCCACACCTCTATGTTTTGCGCTACTCAGGTCTAATCTTTTAGGTGTCTAGCTCGTCTCTCCGTTGGTCTGCCGCTTGGTCATTTTCTGTCTTTGGGCATCCATTCTGTGGTAGCTTTTGTGTTGTTGTTCTTTGTTGAAGTTGCAACATTTTATTGACTTATTTTAACGACCGGCTCGCACACCGGTTTTCATGGTGTCGCCATCTCTGAGGTCCGGGGTTCAACCCCCAGCCGGGTCAATGTAAAGAAACTAACTTTTCTGTATTGTCTTGGGTCTGGATGTTGTAGTACCATTGTTGTTTCCGATTTCCTCACAATGGTTTAGTTTGGGATCAGAGCAACGTATGATGTGTCTAATATTTATTTATTAATTTTAACAACACCATAAATTGTGTCAAAGGTTGATGTTATCATCAACCCATATATCCTACCGCTGGGCATGGATCTACTCTAAGGTGAAAGGGCCGAAGTTTTGCCTGGTGTCCGCCATGCTGGTCCAATGGGGACTGGACATATTCACAAATATACGTAACTTAGAAATTGAAGTCATTGGGACTCGAATGGACGCCCGAAATGAGAAACAACTGTTGTCCCAGTAAGCTTTTTGTCATTTTCCAATTCAAAAAATGTTAGCAATCATTTAAATTACGTAACAACAAACTTATCTATTTCACAAAACCTCAACCTAAAAGTTTCTGGTTTATTCAGTGAGAGCTTACACCCATTTGCATATTAAATGTAATCGATAGATTTCATGGTTTGGCTATTCATTTTGTTTTTAACCGACTTCAAAAAAGGAGGAGGTTCTCAATTCGACTGTATGTTCTTTTTTTTTTGTATGTATGTTACGCGATAACTCCGGTATTTGTGAACCGATTTTCATGATTCTTTTTTTGTTGGAAAGAGGGTGCCTCCATAGTGGTCCCATTTCATTTTGAAGAAAACCATCCACCTCTAAGGGTGGCTGATCACGCATGAAGATTCATTTTTATAAATAGCGCCTGACTTTAATTTAGGAGCAATTACTTTTAGCAATTGTTTAGTTGATTTTGCTATTTCTCCAATTCAAGGCGTTATTCTCTCGATATACTTTGAGTAGTGTCGTAGTGAGAACCTATTTTTATTATTTCCAGTATCAAGTCCTGTATAGTGGCGAACTAGGGGATATTTCAATGAAACTTAGCAAATAGACGTAATTACACGTACTTTTGAGGTCGGTTGTTTTAGTACTCTGTACTGAGATTATTGAAGAATCTTTATCTATCCGAACGCGTTCGGTCATTGCGACCACTTCCACTCCCAGTGGGGTTGGCGCTAGCCAATTTCCGCTTGAGTAGGATGTTGAGTCCTTTTTAGTTTACTTACTACGTAAAACCATAGTTTTTTTTATGGTACGAAGTGACGGGATGAATAAGTCGTGCGCCTGGTGGTAAGCGACACGCCTGTAGAGCGTTAAATCGCAAAGATCTGAGGGGCACTGCGTCTGTCACCCTGAGACATAGATAACAAGGAAAGCAGTAAGGCTCACATTACTGTTTGGCTGCAGAAATAGGTAAGATTGCATGACGTCCCTGAATAAATTATTTCATAAGAAACTCTACTGCTACTAAAAATAATAGTATATTAACGCGTGTCAATGCCTACACATGTCCCTCGAAACGTAGGGTTGTCAAATTATTATTTTAGTCGTGCCTACGGGTTGTAAATATAACTTGAAAAAATTAAAGTCCCACATCACAGTATCCCCGTGTTATGTTGAAATAACCTTTGTTGATATTTTAATACTAACATCGTGGATTGGTATCTCGATTCATCATCATTTCTCAGCCAAAAGACGTCCACTGCTGAACATAGGTCTCCCGCAAAGAATGCCACAATCCTGTTCTACGCCCCTTGTATTCCCGCAGCCTTCACCAGATCATCAGTTCACCTTGTGGGTGATCTGCTTACCTACGCTGCGTCTTGCGGTACGCGGTCGCCACTAGAGAGCTCTTCGGAGCTCATGGGAGCGGCCATACAAAATCCTTATGGGCAAGCTCCGGCCATGGGTTCCTTCGTTGACGGCAAGCCTCGACCCTGCGTTCGTGGAGAGGGTGGTAGTCACCCTCTTCCCTAGGGTCGAGAGCAGTACCGCCTCGGGGTCTCGGCGTGACAGACGAAGAGCTGGATCGAGCCGTGAGGCGTCTTGGTGCTCGGAACACTGCGCCTGGCCCGGATGGTATCCCGGGCCGGGCGAGGAGAGAGGACGGGAGAGGACCATCCAGCTCGGTGAGCTCGGGGTTTCTCGCGTCGTCGAAAAAATCGAGGCACTGATTCTACGGGTAGCGCCTCAAAAAAATGAGGCGCTGTGGTCCCACGAACTCCCGCGAGGGAGGAAACCACCCAGTTACTCGATTCGCATTGCTGACGTCGACGTCCAGGTAGTGCAGTACTTAAAGTACCTGGGCCTCATCGTGGACGGCCGCTGGGACTTCGAGGAGCAGTTCCGATGCCAGGTTCCCCGGATCGATAGGGTGGCGGGTGCACTGCACCGGTTGCTGCCCAATCTGGGGGGCCCTTCCGAGGAAGTTCGCCGCTTATACGGTGGGGTGGCGCAACCCGTGGCCCTATATGGGGCGCCTGTCTGGTCACATCGACTGACAGGCGTCCGATGCAGCAGAGCCATTCTCAATGGCGTGCCAGGATCGTACGAGGATACCGCACTGTATCCTTCGACGCGGCGGCTGTCCTGGTGCGGTTTCCCCCGCTGGACATGCTGGCGGAGATGGAGTATCTTAGGAGGATTTCCCCACGAAAAAAAAAAGATATGAATGAGTTGAATTGGTAGGTCGATGGCTGGTTTTTATTATAATATGTGGGACTAATTTATGACGTGCGCATTCATGCTATCTAAAATTATTTCATTATTACATTCTTTGAAACGAGACGTACCGGAATGTAGGATGGGATGTTTTATGGGTGCTGGTGAAATTACAGGCACATGGGACATGTCAGCTTGTGTATCATGGTGACGGGCGCCGTGGCAGTGCCCCTAAGATTTCTGCGATTTGAAGCTCTGAGTGGCACTGCAACTGTCATGAATAGGCGTGTTGCTTACTACCAAGCGCACGACTTGTTCGTCCCGTCACTTATATATATATATATATATATATATATATATATATGTATATAT